TGTGAACAATTACTGAAATAGGTAATAGAGGCAAGTCTCAAATGGCTAGATTTATCAACGTATTCTTCATGCGAGGTCAGGAACCAGAAACGTGAACCAATGTCAATAAATTTGAAAACCCCGAAATGTGAAAAAAATTAAGATACGTATAAGAAACCATAAGCATTTTAAGTATATACGATATATTTACAGAAGGATATGATTAGAGGAAGAATGCTAAATCTTGACCTATTATGAAGTCAGCTCAGAGGAAGACCCCAAAATTGAAATCTTCTAACATGAACACTGTTGAGGAGTTAGAGGCATTAACTTAAAAATGTGGACGTACTTTGAGTTAGGTATTGAGAGAGGTATCTTTCTTAATCTCAAAACCTGATCCTGATCCATAATTGATCCCCAAAACCGAAAAGTTCAGAGGAAGATGTCTAAAATCCGAAAAGTATACATCTTAGGTAAGATATGTTATGAGGAAGGAATCTGAAGCTCCAGAACGTAGACCTTTAATGAGATATGTTAAAAGTGACTTCTCAGAAACCGCAAAATATGGACCTGTCATAAAATTCGTATAGAAGGATGACACTGAAATCCCAAAATCTGGACCTATAATGAAACATATTTTCAAACGAAGGTCTCTAAAACCTCCAAAACGTGGTGTATCCATTGATATTAAGACGTGGATCTATAATATGATTTGTGTCGCTGAAATCCAAGTCAGTTCAACCTAAACTGAGATGTGTTTTGAAAGAATTATATGCAGAGAGAGATCTCTGAAATACCAAAGCCGGGAGCCGGCTTTCAGAATGGGGTTTAATCCCCTCAAAATGTACTTAATGGTACGACTGCTCTTTAAAGGGGGTTGCAGTAGATTGAAGTCCTATAAAAGGGTTTCTTAATGGGTATTCTTATGGGTACGGCCTATCTGGACCATTTAACATTTTCAAACGATTTAAGTTAGATGTAGCAAAACATCGCAAGATCGAACTTAGATCAGATTTTAAAAACCAAATCGGATGGAGCTATTGCTATATCTGAACCGATTTTCACCAAGTTTTAAATTTTAACTTCTAGAATGAACTCGCTCGGAAGTGCAACTTTTCACTCACTTTGGGCTGAAATTAGCCATTTGGGAAGCTATATCCAAATCTGATCCGATCTTGATAAAATTGGAATCATGTATTGCTAGGCTGAATCTAATATCTGGTACCAAATATCATTTTTATGGGGCGTATATTACGAATGTAAGGGACTTAAACACCAAAATCGGATGAAACATATATATGGGAGCTATAGCTATATCTGAATCGATTTTCACCAAATTTTAAATATTAACGTCTTGAATGAATTCGCTTGGAAGTGCAACATTTCACTCACATTGTGCTAATGGCTTATTTCCCATTTGGTCCACAAAAAAACCTATAATCGGACGAAGATATATAAGGGAGATATATCCAAATCTGAACCGATCTTCATAAAATTTGAATCATTTGTATGGCTGGGCAGAATCTAATGTCTGGTACTAAATATAATTTTTGTGGGGTGTATATTACGAATGTGAGGGACTTGAACGCCAAATCGGATGAAACATATATATGGGAGCTATAGCAATATCTGAACCGATTTCCACTAAATTTAAAGTACTTGTTTCTATACTAAATTCGGTCGGAAGTGCCAAAATTCACACAATTTGGACTGATATTAGCCATTTGGTGCACAAGAAACCTAAAATCAGATAAAGATATATATGGGAGCTATATCCAAATCTAAACCAAACTTGATAACATTTGATCTATGAATTGCTAGGCTGTATCTGATATCTGGTGCTAAATATCAGTCTTGTGGAGTGCATATAACGAATGTGAGGGACTTAAACACCAAAATTGGAGGAAATATTTATATGGGAGCTATAGCTATATCCGAACCGATTTTCACCAAATTTGAAGCACATGCTTGTGGGCGGAATTCGGTTGGATGTAGCAAAATTCACACCATTTGGACTAATATTAGTCATTTGGTGCATAATAAACGGCAAATCGGACGAAGATTTATATGGGAGTTCTATCTAATTTTTTTCCGATTATCTCCAATTTCAATAGGGTTCGTCCTTGGTCCAAACAAATGTTATTTAGGAAATTTCATCTCAATCGAATAATAAATGTGATTCTATGCAGATCATCAAAAGGAAGTATGGGTCTATCTCGTTTCCTTTTGCCTATTACAAACAAATGCACAAAGACATAATACCCCGACCACCTTGTGGTGTAGGGTATAATAAGTATTACCGGCTAATGGTTGATATCGTGAAAAAAGTTTGTGCCTTAAGTCTTTTGTTTTTTTTTCGGTTCGTAGCACACAAGACACTAGCAATTTAACAAGCATTAATGGATTCTGGCTTATTTTGAAAATACCTACTACCGGCAAACTTTTGGAAGAATGTATGCTTATCCGTATAACATATTTCTGTCGGATTAAAGTCAACGTTTTTCACGGTGAACAAAGATCAAAATCTTCCTGTAGCGTAGATAACTAAAATTAATATATATTTTTTATATCTTGAATTCTTTTCAACAACAAAATTTAGGTTTTTCAAAATTGCTGGAAAATCTGAGTAGGTTATGAAAATTGAGCTAACCAGAGAAAAGACGTATATTTGCGTTTTGAAATTTACATCGAGAGGTAACCCCAAAAAAGGTATATTTTTTACTTTTTTCAGACTACGTTGCCTTTGAATTCCTGCCTTTAAGACACATAGTGAATTCAGCAATATAACACTCTCAGCTATCTGCCTTGGCCTCTGTAAGTTATAATAATCCCAAATTAGCGGTCATAAATGAATTCTGATTCTTTTAAAATATCTTCCATCGGCAAAGTTTTAGAATTTTGGAATTGATACCTGTCCTAGGACTTGTCATATAATATTTCTGTCAAATTAAAGTCAATGTTTTCGTTCGGTTTCTCAGTTAATTTTTCACTCAAGAATGCTCGACTCTTATACATGAAAAAACTGTAACCAACTTTAGACTATTGTCATTTCTAAGAAACTCGTCCGACAGCTGTTAAAATTATTCCTGCGACAGGTCATTATATTGTTTACAAGCGTATAAAAGCATTTTGGTGAGGATTTTCCAGAAAAAAAGTTATTCGTTGTGGAATTCAAGCGTGATAGATTGATTTCTTTATATTTGGCTGAAAAACCACAAGTGGCTATCGTTGAGCACTCCAGCATTTAAATGTGAATAAATCTTTTGTGTCTCGTATCATCGCTCGTTACCGTGATACTGGTAGCGTAGCCCGACGTCAAGGACGAGGACGCCAGAAAACAGCAATATTAGCAGAAATGGTTCGAAAAGTAAAGAAGCGACTTGATCGAAAAATGAAATATGGCTGGTGAGCTGAACATATCGCAATATTCCATTCGACAAATATTAAAAAATGAGCTCGGGGTAAAGCCATTGAAATTCCAAAAAGTGCAGGAACTTATACCGCAACAGAAAGAAAATAGACTCTAAAAGCTATAGAGCCAAAGAGTTGCTTCCCTTTGCGGAAAGTGGTGTTTTCCGACGAGAAAACATTCGTTGTCCAGCAGTTTGTAAACAAACAAAATGATCGTGCTTATTCTGGAGGGTGTATTTTAGCCATGGGCACGCAAACATGTTGGCCACATTCCAACAGGACTCCATCGCAACACCGCACTCAGTACGAGCCACCCAAGAATGATTACAAAATGAGGTTCCTCGCTACATTTCCAGCGCACATTGACCACCAAAATTTCCGGATACCAATCCGTGGGACTATTGTGTCTGAAGTATTTTGGAAAGCAAGGTAGGCACTAAAAAATATCAAAGTGACGATCATCTCAAGCAAGCGCTTCACCGGTAATGAGCCAAAATACCACAGAGCAACATTCGGGCAGCGTGTGACGGTTTCATTGGCCGATTTCTGTCAAAGGTGACCAATTCGAACAAATCTAAACTGATTCTAAAATTTGATGCTATCTCCTACATTTTTTGTTTTCATTCAATAAAATTTAAAAAAATGTAAAAGTTATTGCAGTTTTTTATCTCATCCTGTAGAGCTGGATTTTCAACAAAGTCGTCATATCTAAAAAGCTAAACAACCCCAAATGACCATTTCTTTCGCTGGGACGATATCATGATATTGGTAGAGATCAGCAAATCGTTTTGAAAAAATTTACTAACATTAGCTTAAGCCAATGAGGGTATATTCCAAACTTATACAATCATATAATTTTTTTAATCTTGAATCCTTTTTTAAATTACACTGTATAACAAAATCTATTTCTTTATAAAGCACAGAAAATCTCAGTAGATTATAAAACTACTGCTAAAAAGGGAAGATACCTATATTTTCATATCGAAATTTACATCGAAATAGAGGGGAGAATTTTTTGGTTATTTTGGATAAAGATTCCTTGGAATTCGTGCATTTTCGGCAATATAACGCTCTCCGGAAGTACCCTGGGATCGGGAAGTTGTAATAATCCAAAAAAAAAAAAAATGGCTAAAAAAACATAGGAGGAAACTTTCAAAACTTAGTTTTGAGTATCAGTTCAATATGACTCAGATTTTAAGTGAATGTTTTTGCAACTTTTTTAAGAAATCGGATTAAAATTCACTCTAATAATCCGCTAATTAAAAAAAATCCCAAAAAGTAGGATACTATTAAATAGGTAAGTTTCTTCCAGAAATATCATGATTATAACCTTAGCAGGATAATTGCACAACTAGGCCACACATTTTTTGGTTTAGATCCAAATTCTCTATCGATTCCTATTTGGGACACCGCACACTTTCTTTAAATGTGGTCAAAAAATCAATCAGAATTCAAACCAAAATTGAGTTTTTTATAAAATGTTTTTTAATCATTTTATTTCTGATTTTTTCAATCATTGTTTTTTTTACTCATATCCTTACATATCTACCAAGTCTTAAATAACAGTTAACAAATTGTCATTAGTTTACTTTTTTATCCTTATTTTCTACAAAAATTCTTTTGATTCCTGGCATTCGATTTAACCGCGGAAGCCACCACCAGCAGCTGAGGCGGAAGCTGATGCAGAAGCCGAGGCAGCACCACCGCCACCGAAACGGCCACCACCGCCAGCAGCGCTAGCCGAAGACGAGGCAGCAGCTGAGGCGGCACCACCGCCGCCACCACGTACGGGGAAGCCACCACCAAAACCGGGACGGCCAAAACCGCCACCAAAGCCGGGACCACCAAAACCAGGGCGTCCAAAGCCGCCACCGCCAAATCCAGGACGACCAAAACCGCCACCGTAGTAGGGATTACCGAACTGAGGCAAAGCGCAAACGGCTGCCAACAGCATAGCGAACACAATGAAGACCTTCATGTTGAATTGGAGTTTTTTTCGATACTGATCTCTAACGGCCAGAGTCAATTGTATTTATACACCTTCCATCCACCCGAACATCTCAATGGGCAGCTATTGTTTTCACACACAAAGTTGTGGGATAGTCCACAACAATAGCAACATAAGAGTACACTGACCGACCGACCGCTAGATTTTGCAGAGTCGTAGCTGAACTAATTCATCATGAGAGATGTCGACGATGATGATGATGATGAAGATCTGAGTGGTCAAGCATTTCTCATTTGCTTTCGTCTATATTTCAAATGAGCCAAACATTATTCGTCCAAAAAAAAAAAAACGAAGACTAATGTCAAATGAAATGCTGCTGTTTCTGCTGCTGCTGCTGCTTAAGGAAAAAAACAAACTAACACATTGACAAGTGCTATCGTTTAATACCCCTACGTGACTACAATGGAAAAGTATAACAACTTGTATTTTGGGCTCTAAAACAATTGATTGTTGCACATCAACCCAATGCTCTGAGATTATTTAATTGGAAGTGTCATTAAAAATGTCACCCGGATTCATAGATAGCAATTAAAATACGGCCTTGTGTTAATTTTTGTTTTTTTTTTTACAATTCTATTTTGTTGACCCAATTTCAGCTGTCAATAATTAGAAATGATTATACCCTCAGCCATATGGCTAGAGAGGGTATATATCATTTGATACGGCCAAAATGTGCCTCATCGAAATAACGGTTTTACACGCTAGGTCTCTTTGGACCAAATCCGTTTCAGGACATTTTGAGTCGGTCTAGCTATTTCCGTCCGCCTGTGCGGCTGGTGCGAACGATAACTCTCGAAGGGTGTATCCGATTTGGTACAAATCTGGTACATCGTAATGTAATTAAAAAAATTTCGATCGAGTTCGGAGATGGGCAATATCGGTCCACTCCTTCTGGTACACCCCCCCCCCCCCCACACACCAGATCGGAATTTTCAAGAAAAATATATTTTCTGCACAGAAAGCGAAACGATAATCCGATTTGGTTCCAGGGCTAAAATAATTATAACTCTTATTAAATGTGGTATAAGAGTCCGATTATCTTCAAATTATTAATTAATTTACTAGCCTAAGGTCTGGTGTAAAGATGGACAATATCGACCCACAAAGGGTCAAAATTCTGAGTACCCATGAAACTCATACAATGCGCTTACCAGCCACTTCCAATCAAACTTGACACATCACAATATTTGTATCAACACTAGATCTGTTATAAAGATGATAGATCGGACCATTTCTTCTGATACCTCCGCCACAAGGCGTCAAAGTTTTAAGTAACCAAAACGATTATAAAATCCGAAATAAGCATCCGAATCTCTTCATATTCCACACATCCCATTATTTCTACTAACACAAGATCTGTTGTAAAGATGGGATTTATAGGGATATATCGGTCCACCCCACAAAAGGTAAAAATTTTGAAAATCCATGAAGCTCATAAAAAGCGTTATTAATTAATGTTGCAGTTTTTTATCTCACCCTGTAGAGCTTGATTTTTAACAAAGTCGTCATACCGAAAAAGCTAAAAACGGCCAAGTGACCATTTCTTTCGCCGGGATGATATCATGATATTAGTGGGCATCAGCAAACCGTTTTGAAAAACATTACTAACATAAGCTTAAGCCAATGAGGGAATATTCCAAACTTAAACAATCTTATAATTTTTTTATCTTGAATCCTTTTTTAATTACACTGTACAACAAAATCTATTTCTTTATGAAACACAGAAAATCTTAGTAGATTATAAAAAATACGGCTAAAAAGGGAAGATACCTATATTTTCATGTCGAAATTTACATCGAAATGGATAGGAGATTTTTTGGTTATTTCGGATTAAGATTCCATGGAATTCGTGCATTTTAGACAATATAAAGCTCTCCGGAAGTACCTTAGGATCGGGAAGTTGTAATAATCAAGAAAAAAAAAAAACAAAATTGACTAAAAAACATCGGAGGAAACCTTCAAAACTTAGTTTTGAATATCTGTTCGATATAACTCAGATTTTAAGTGAATGTTTTTCCAACTTTTTTAGAAATCTGATTAAAATTCACTCAAATAAGCCAAAAAATCCCAAAAAGTAGGATACTATTAAATAGGTAAGTATCTTCCAGAAATATCATGATTATAACCTTAGCAGCTATGCCACAAATTTTTGGTTTAGATATCGGTCCACCCCACAAAAGATAAAAATTTTGAAAATCCATGAAGCTCATAAAAAGCGAAATTAACGTTCAATTAATTCAGAATTGGCACATCTCAATATTTACATTAACACAAAATCTGTTATACAGATGGTGGAGATCGGACCATTTTTTGTCGTACACCAACAAACCCCCCCCCCCCCCCCCCCCCAAACATAGGGTTCAAGATTTTGAAAAACAAAATGCTCAAAGAAAACGAAATAAGCATCCATCTCTCTTCACACATACAAACATTTTTCCTAACACAAGATATGTTGTGAAGGTGATCAGATATGTATCACCCCCTTCTGGGGCCTCACCCACAAAGGGCACTATTTTCAACACCTTTATTTTTTATAAGTTGCGAAACAAGTCAGCGATTCATTACAACTTGCTCTACATATCTTACTATTCCTCTCAACCAGAAATCTGAGATAAATGTGGAATTAATGATTTTGGATAAAAATGGATATAAATGTTCGATTTTCTTGTAATTTTGCTCATACCAATATTTTCATCTGTATTAGATGAAGTATGAAAATGGAATATTTCCGTCGATTATATCTAGTACCTCACCCGCATTTTAATATTTCCTAAAAAAAATGTCATATATCTCATATAAAGGTGAAGGAAGAAGTCGATATAATCCAAACCTGGCCGTCGCGAAGACCTACTTATACTGTTTTACTTTTTTTATAATTCGATATGATTGACCCAATTTCGGCTGTCAATGGTAATTTGATTTTATTTGTCATTTGGATTGTTGACGGCCGAAGTGGACACAATCAAATATAATAATCGAAAAATATAAGAATTTTAATTTGAAGTAGACTAATTGTAGGAATCAATTTTCGAGTGGAAGGTGTTCTTTAGAATTGTTTTCAACAAAAATATATATCTTAATGATAAAATATATAAAAAATATAAAAATATAATACATATAAATATATAAAAAGTCTGCAAAAAACTCTAATATCCACAGAATAAATCCAAAAAGTCTTGTTCTTATAGAGATTCAATATTTCTCTGTACAGTTTTCTTTTGGTCTTACGTTGGGGGAGAATTTGACTGCTTTTACACTACCCTGTATTTTTTTTTTTTTTTTTGTAATTTGCGAATGTTGTTTTCTTTTTCATAACAATAATCAATCAAGCTGCGACGTCATTACCCCATGAAATGGAACATAATTATGTAAGTACGTGTATTCTTTTGCGTCTTAATAAAACAAATATGAAAGAAGAATGGCTAGACATAGCTTCCAATGGTCTGTTCCATTTTTCAATTCTGAAAGTTATGACAGACTTAATTATTATGTTGTATACCGTTTGAAAAATAAAATAAAATCACTCGCTGAGTGGCTGATAAAGTGAAGAGAGTTTGTGTCTTAAGTCTTTTGTAGCTTAGCTTACAAGAAGGTGGAAATTTCGACTGCGTAAATAGATTGTTTTCTTGTTCTTAAATATCACTTCTATCTGTATGACCCTCTGGCTTGCTTGTACACACGAGGCCGTCAGTGGTCTTAGGCAATATTGCTGATAACAATACGAATTCCCAGTCCTTAACACTCTCCTCATGCACAATTCCGTGTCGATTGGTTTCCATTTGTAAACTGTAAGCGACTGCACACAATAGGCCTTAATTCTAAACTTCCATCTCCATGCAAAATTTCGTAAGGATCAGATGATAGTCGCTATATATAATACCCTCAATAAATAATGTTGCGATGTGTAAAAAAATTTTAGAAAATTTACAATTCAAAATTGCAAGTCAAAATGAAAAAATTGCATGCGGTAAAATAATATGACAAAAATTTTAAAAATGTAAAAAAATCACTTTTTTATTGTCATATTTTTACGCGATTTTCCTTGTTTGTATTCTTTTTCTGGCAAGCTACCATTCTGAATTGATAAGAATTGTAAAAATCAGTACAGCGGTTCCTATATTATACGCGGAATAATTAATATATAGAATGTACCTATTTTGCTATATATCCGATATTTTGGCTATCAGCATCAATGTTGCGGTCACAAGTGACCTTTTCGTGTATTTGTTATTTCTCGAGGTTTAGTGGAAATTTTCGTATTTTTTACATAAAAGTTGTGTCTACTTTAGCCGCTAAATATTGATCGATGACCAGACAAAATGGCAGGCTTTTGACCAGGCCTAAACTTAAGCCTAAATTCCGTGTCGATTGGTTCATAATTGCGACCCATAAGGCTACTGAAAATTTTTCTGTTTTTGGTCTATTTAGGGGTTGAAATAAATATTTTTCGATTATCTCCCCCAACAATAGGATTATATTATAACATTATATCATAACCCCACATTCATAAAAAATTTAGGACCATAATTGCGACTTGTAAAGTAATTACAAATTAACAAGGACATACTGACATACCTATCTAGATAGCCTCAACTCGGCGAGATAGGAAGATCCATATATAGTTTTCTATATCTTGGATGAATATTTCGAGGTGTTAAATAATTTTTGGCCCCATCGTACTTATAATACCCCCGCCACATAGTGTTGTAGGGTACAGAAAATAGACAGAACATCCCCGTCCTATCTTAGTTTTCATGGTTTTAGTTTCACTTTACTAATCATATCGTTTCTCCTGTAATTTTGGAAAAATTAATGTTGTAGCATAGTCTAATTGATGTTAATTACTAAGTAAAGTTACGAAATGACTGAAGACATACATTTTTAATTTGGTGTGAAGGGGTGAGAAAAGGTGGGATATTTAGAAATTCATACGTATCTGGTACAAACGATGAAAATAGTCACGAAAGGATACTGCACCGCTATTAAACGACAAGTAAGAAATTACCTTGGAATCAGGTATTGGAGTCACTTACTGTGCGGTGGGTGATACAAAAAGGGATTTTCATATTTCTTCAATACTTCAAAGCTACAAGGCGTACATATATGTATGTATGTATCGGTAATAGCTTTGTAATTTTGTACGATTTTATGCAACAAGCGTTGTTATCTACTGCATGTTTCAAGTAGCAAAAATGTGTCTGAAATCATTAAAAAGTCGAATATCGGAAGATACCTTTATATGGACCAATATAATGCCATGGAACTATGTAGACAATGTTCTGACAATTTCTTCCTCCAGAAGCTAATAAAGAATGCGTGTTTTTCGATATGAGACCAAGTCTTCGTCTCTACTATATTTTCCAATATTTTGAGAGAATTTTTTTTTGAGATATTTACTATGATTTTCTATTAGAAATAAGAATTCGGCTATGACTCACCATATGGCCCGGGTTCAGTTATGCCCTGCACCGCCATAGTTAAAAGCTTCCCCTTCATGGGAGGGTGGTTTAGCTTTCCAATAAAGTATAATACTAATTGATGGTCAAAGAAAAACAAAAGACTTAAGACACAAACTTCTTCATTTCTGACAGTCTCTTCTGAAAGGGAAGTGGAAGGGAAGAAAAGAGACAATGTCTCGGCTATAAAGTGTGGGCAACAAAAACATCTTGCCCGATCGGTCGCATATCGAATGAGTCGAATTTCGATGATTAGCCAATATTTTTTACTATCTTGTTGTTGCAAAATGGTCAGGCTTTATCCCTTTATTGTTGTTTTTATAAAAACAACGTTTGTTTATTAGTGGAGAACGATGGTAATGTTTACCAGAGGGTAAGGCAGGGAATACCTAGGTTTCGGAAAGAGCCACCAATCCTCATCAGTTCCCTTGTTTTTTGTCTGGGATATTCTCCCCAGAAGTTATTTTAAAAATAACTTCTATGACTTCTGCTTTATCCTCTGGTAAACATTACCATCGTTCTCCACTAATAAACAAACGTTGTTTTTATAAAAACAACAATAAAGGGATAAAGCCTGACCATTTTGCAACAACAAAATACTACGGTATCCCGAACAAACAAGCCAACACTCTTCTATTTTTTTACTATCGACATTTTTAATGTGCAATGCTAAAATTTTAAGTCCGCTGTAGATGACAAAACAAAATTCTCCAAAATCCTTATTTGTACCCTGATTCCGGAGAAGTATATTTTTCTTGAGGGCGGAACCATTTACCCAAAGTGGTCACATGGTGGAGTGATTAAAAACGATTCGAATAATCGATTTTTTGGACCGAAAAATACACCAAATTATAGGTAACACTTCAAACTTTCCAGAATCTTTCCTGGTTCCGAAGATATGCGTTTTTGAGCCTGGACTTCCGGATTCTGTTCCGTTCATTGAACCAAGGTATTTCTAAACTTGATGTTGTTTTAGGCTTGGGATTTTCTCCTGTGCGTATGTCCCACACCGGCCCCACATTTCAGGTCCAGGAAAATAATAGCACATTTGTGGTATTTTGGAAATGTTATAGCGTCAACATTGGAATATATTCTGGGGACTTCCAAAATGGATAATATTCGGGTTCTGTTTTTATACCCTCCAACACTTTGTGTTGGGGGTCGCAATTATGGCCCGATCTTCACGAAATTTAAAATGTAGGTGGGGTTAAGATCAGAATAGAACCCTATTTCTTTTGGAGATGATCGTATAATATTTAGGAGTTGAAATGGACCAAAAACTGAAAAATTTCCTGATTGCTCTACAGGTGACAATTATAGACCAATCGAAGCGAAAGTCAGCATGGGGCTAGAGCTTTGGGCTGGGCAGAAGCCTTCCAATTTTGATGGTCATCGGGTTATATTGAGTGGTTGAAATAGGCCATAGCATTTGTGATAAACAAAAGTCAAATTTTCTATTAAACCGCGAATATTTTTAGACGATAAGGTAAATTCTGACCGTTACGTAGATGCGAAAGTAAATATGTCGGATTTATATAGCAAAATATATACAAAGTGTATATACAAAAAAGAAAGGGGATGTTAGCTAGAATGTTTATATCTCAAGAATGGCTGCACCGATTTTGACAAATTTTGTCAATTCAGAATGCCCTTTGGCATAAAAGTATAAAATCTGAAAAAAACACATAAAAAGATGCCAATAATGATGTCAAAGTAGATTTTGTAGTATTTTGTGACTTTTTTATTTTTTCATATTTTTTATCGCATGCGATTTTTTCAATTTGACTTACAATATTTTGTAATATTTTTGCTCTTTACAGCATAGGTTGGGGATATTATATACAGATTGCAATTATCGTCCAATCCACATGAAAAGGGTAGGGTTAGGCTCAGAAGGGCTAGGCCTATTGTTTTCAAATATGTCTGCAATATATTTAGGGGTTGAAATGGACCAACAACCAAAAATGTTCCTGATTTTGCCGCCGTTATAAAGGTCACAAATAGAAACCAAAGAACACGAAATCTCGCATGTAGTAAGAGTTTAGGACGGCGGATAGAATGGACCACTATTTTTGTCTGAAAAGTACCAACATTACTTACAGGCGATATCCGAAATGCACAAAAGGATAATAAGGGCTTCTATAGCGTCAGTCTAAAGTCTATTTGTACTCCTGGAAAGAATATACCCAAACATAATACTAAGGGAACCAATGCGAGTTGGAGGCATTTTCCAAACTATAGTCTTGCCTGCCTTACCTCTTGCCTAAAAATGAAATTTAGCCTTTAATAAATAAAGGATGTTTCTATAAAAACTACAACAAGGCTAGAAATAAGTCAGATAATTTCAAAATAACAAGAAAAAGATTTCATTTGTTTTTCGAAACAGATTTTGCAATATTTTTTTTTTTTTCAAAGAAGGCGATAACAATAATTTTTAAAATTTCACATTCTCCTTAGGCCCCGTTCAAAATAGTCCCACTTCTTTTGCACACTTTAAAAGTTTTAGACACAGTTACTGCTTTGTTCTGAAAGGTATTTCAATATTTTTTTCACATTTCTCAAATTTCACTTAGCGCTGTCACTCACTCCACAATTAATTAACACCCATTACTATTGACTTTCTTGCAAAGTGTTTGCTTTTATTTTAATTCTTATTTTTTTTCTTCTTATAACTAAATGTCTATGTTTATGTTCTTAAATGATTTGTTTGGCTCTTACATTAAAAATATTTGTTTTAAAATAACAAAATTGTTATTTTGTTCTTAAATTCTCTACAACAAAAAATTGTTGTTTCAACATTAACTTGAATTAATAAATATAAACGAAATAATATCGACTAGGGACACGGGGGTTTAATTTTTAACCGCGGAATCCACCACCAGCAGCTGAGGCTGAGGCAGATGCGGAAGCAGCACCACCGCCGAAACCGCCACCACCAGCAGCAGAGGCAGATGCAGAAGATGAGGCCGCACCGCCACCACCACCAAATCCGGGACGGTAAAAACCGGGACCTCCGAAGCCACCGCCAAATCCAGGGCGTCCGAAACCGCCTCCGTAGGGGCTACCAAAACCGCCACCAAATCCAGGGCCACCAAAGCCGCCGCCAAATCCAGGGCGTCCGAAACCGCCACCGTAGTAGGGACTACCGAATTGGGGCAAAGCGCAAACGGCTGCCACCAACATGGCCAATACGATGAAGATCTTCATGTTGAATGAGTTTTTTTGCTACTGATTTCGTAGAGCGAGCGACCAATGTATTTATAAGCCGCCATTGAGCAGCTGAGATTGGCCATCGGAAAAACCTATGGCGACATGATTAACATATGCTCGATGTTAATTTCCTAAACTGTAGAGCCGATGAGTGGTGAGACAACTTTTTCGTTTTTGGTACTTTTCGTTAAGAATTTGTAATGAGAACAACTGTTCTTTGAAGAAGCTGGACAAATTCTAAAATTCTTGATTAAAAGTGGAAGGGGAGGAGGGTTGAAAACAAAGGTTAAACGAGAAATTTGAATTTCTTTGAGAGATTTCGAGAAAGAGATTATTGGCCAAAATATCGCTCACAACAACAATTGCCTTTGTCATTTCTGGGATTTTTTTTTTTTCAAAGTACCACTTAACACCTTTTATGTATAAAATGAGATTAATTTATGCATGATATCACAAGTTACACAAATGGGGTTGGTATGGAAATTTTGGGAAAAATTTAGATAAAAAATATTTTTGGTCTATAGAAGAAGTACATATTATAGCCTCTTTAAAAGTCGACGATTATTGCTCTATTATGTTTTCACTCATATTGTATGTAAATCGGTGATACAAAATCGGCTGCGGTAATGTAGCACTGCCAAAAATATTTTTTAAAATTCTATAAATTTTTGGTTTATAAAATATTCTTAAAAAATACACAATATTTTGCGAAATCATAGAGGTTGGATGGTGTTGGACCTATTTTTACTTTATTAGAATGAATATTTTATAAACAGGACTACTGAGACGCGCAACATTTGACAAAAATCAGGTTCTAATTTTACGTTCTTTGACAGATATTTTTAACCTCTCCTGTTAAGAGAACGTACGATATGAAATGGACCAACATTGTCCCTGTTCGCATCTAACTTAGCTTTGTCTCGGTACACTTTATGTGACTAGTATCTTCCTAAATTCTGACTTTTTTGGGGGAGTTGCCAATGGGGGCGGACTGCAAAGTTTGATTATCGGGACATTAATTTGAATTTTATAGAAGTTATTACCAATCAATATGTTGGCACTTTATGGGGAGATACCGGAAGGGGCGGAATGAAGTAGATTTTCGATTCTCATAACGGTGGGCTAACCAAATCACATACTTCATACGAGTTTATGTTATTTTTAAAATTTGGGAGGTATCGGTACCTGACCTCTTATGATGTACAAAATATGGATCACTTCGAGAGTAATAGCTCACACCTGCCAGATGATAGGATGCGGCAAACTATAGCCGTTTTACTAGGCATGTACAGTTTGCGGTCATTATTCTATGGGGATCCAAAACCATGAATCGTTTGCAGAAATCTATGAATCGGCTGAGTCTTTCAAAAAAGAAAAAATCCCTTAAAATTCAGAATTATTGATCAGCAGTCCTTCAAAAAATATCTAAATAATCACACACATAAATTTCTTTTATGAATTCATTGTGATGCGTTTGTAAACCCTTTGAGATATGTTAAAAAATTAACGATTGTTGACTTCCAGAATAAATGTTCCAAAAAATCTGCGACTCTGGACTTCTAGAAAAAATTTTCAATAATATCTACGATTATATATGTAGATAAGACAAGATTTTGAATCAGTAGGTGTTTCAATAAATCTTTTTAAAACTCCATTATTACAGGTGGAAAGTTTTTCAAGAAATCTTTTTCCATAACCATGTTTATGTGACAGCTGGTTCTCTAAGAGATATACTTAAAAATCCGAGATGACAGCTCTATAAAATTTTCAAAAAAATCTTTAAAAATAATCCCTGATTATAACTCTGACTCAAAAAAAAATTAATTTCAAGATCTTGAAAATAAAATTGAAAGACCTTCAAAAATGTTCCTTAAAAATAGCGATTTTAAGTAAAACAAGTTAAAAAGTATCAGTCGGTTTTGTCGACAGATGTATACCCTCAGCCAATGTTCGATTATTTAAAAATATTTAGACTTCTGTTATGATTATTCAAACTCTTGACCCTCTATGGAGTGGGTTTTGAGAGAATGGGTAAATATTGCCCATTTCGTATCGGACCTAAATAAATATGATATAAATATTGCGACGTGACAGGTTTGTACAATATTGGTAACTTCCTTCACTTTACATGACATATATGATAATTCTTAGAAAATGTTAACATGTGCGCGAGTTACCAGATATAGTCGACCGAAGTATTCTAGTTTCATATTTCGTCTAATACAGATAAGAATATTGGTATGGCAAAACTATAAGAAAATCGAACATTTATATCTAATTTATGGGAAATCATAAATTCCATATTCATCTTAGGTTTTTTAGGTGAGAGACATATATTTAGATATAGCAAGTAGTAAAGTATCGCTGAGTTGTTTTGCAAGTTATGACAGATACAAATATTGAAAATTGTGACCCTTTGGGAGTGAGGTACCAGAAGGGGTTAACAGATATATATCATCTGCACAGCAGTTATAACAAAAATGTTTGTATGTGCGAAATTTGAAGAGTGTTTTTGATTTTGATTTCCAAAATTTTGAACCCTATGTGGGGCAAGTAGCAAAAGAAATGGTCCGATCTCTACCATCTTTATAATAGATATTGTCTTAAAAGAAATATTCAGATGTTCCAGGTCTAAATGGAATCGGATCTTAATTTCGCGTTTTATGAGACGAATGGATATTCAAAATGTTGACCTTTTGTGGGGGAGGTACCAGAAGGAGTGGACCGATATTGCCCATCTTCGAACTCGCCAAAGATATATTTTCTGAATTCTCTGTCTGAATGTCCATGAAAAATTATTTCTATAAAATCTATGTATGTTGTTCTTGAAAAAATGTAGCTCAAATAATCCTGGGATTTTTTTTTATGAAAGCACGTTTTTATCTGTAATGTTGATCAGAAATTCTTTTTCCTTCAAGAAAATATTTTTTAATTAACTACGTTTACGGATGGTCCTTGAAAAAAAATCCTTAAAAAGTCAATTTGATAGTTTTGATGGATTGTCATTCGATGGATAGCTTCATATGTCTTGAGAAATATTCTTATAATATACATACTTTTAGAGCTCTGCTACACCTCCAAAAACATTTTGTAAAAATCAAGAAGAATGACTCTGATATTACTTGAAAAACCGATTATTTGTAAAGTCCAATATTGTATCTCTGTCCCACCTTCCGAATTCGTTCTTTAAAATCGACGTTTTCAGTTCTTCCACCTTTCAGAAATGTCCTTAAAAATCCAGGATCTGCCGCATCCAAAAAACAATGTTATAACAAGTGAGCAAAGGCTATAGTCGTACGGGGTCGACCATGTGATACCCTGCAACACTACAATGTGTTAGAAGCCCCCTAATGTCCAAATCCATTTTGGAAGATTTCGCTTTTGTAATTATGTCACGGAGCACTGCCCAGATATTACACATAGCATTTTGACTAGGTCATTTGCACTTCGCACTTCGTTGTGCTGTTAGATGTTGTGGTCCATTTTACAACTAAATATAATCTAATGGTCATCCAAAATGCTAGAACTATTCCCTGTCCTTAACTCTCTTCTCAAGCGAAATTCCTTGTGGATTAGTTTAAATTGTTTGGATAAATTTTTTTTCTGTTTTTTGGTCATTTGAACCCCTAAATATTTTGCGATCATCTCCAAAAGCAAAAGGGCCCTCTGTATCTCTAAATTTAGACTCATCTGTATCATTTTCTTGTCTACGATATTTAGCTATATTCGTCAACGAAATCAGCATAAAAAAGCCAGAAGTTCGCTTTGGTATTTTTCATTTTTTTGTTGGTTTTTTTTCACCCAAATTAGTGGTCCATTCTACCCGCTGTCCTAAACTCTAACTACATGCGCGAGATCGTGTCCTTTGGTACATCAGGATCATTTTTATTTGTTGGTCCATTTCAACCCCTAAATATATTGCGGACATGTTTAAAAACAACAGCCCTTGCCCTTCTGAGCCTAACCCTAGCCTTGTGAAAATTTTCGTGAGGATCGGACGATAATTGCAATCTGTATATAATAACTCCAACCTGTGTTGTAAGGTGAAAAAGTATTAAAAAAAATATATAATTCAATATTAAGTCAAATTGAAAAAATAGCATGCGATAAAAATTATGAAAAAATAAAAATATCTCACAAAATCTACAAAATCTGTATTAACATCAATATTGGCATCTTTTTGTGCGATTTTATTTATATTTTGTACTTTTATGCCAAGAGGGCATTCTGAATTGATGACATTTGTGAAAATCGGTCCAGCCATTCATGAGATATATGCATTCAAGCTAACATTCCCTTCCTTTGCATATACACATTGTATATATTTCGCTATATATATCCGATATATTACATAACGGTTAGAATTGACCTGTTCGTCTATTTGTGATTCCGCCAGGATTAAAAGTATTAGAGTTTTATGGAAAATTTGACTTTTATTTAACACAAATGTTATGGTCTATTTCACACACTAAATATTACCCGATGACCATCAAAGGTCAAAGGAAGGCTTCTGCCCAGCCCCATGCTCTAGCCCCATGCTAACTTCCGCTTTGATTGGTCTATAATTGCGACCTGTAGAGCAACTGCATAATCAGGAAATTTTTCAGTTGTTGGTCCATTTCAACTCCTAAATTTTATGCGATCATCTCCAAAAGAAATAGGGTTCTTCTATTCTGACCCCACCTCCATTAAATTTCGTGAGGATCGGAACATAATTGCGACCTGTAGCGTGATTACAAATTAACGTGGAAATAGCATCAAATTTTAGAATAAATTTAGATTTGTTCGAATTGGTCACTTTTGGCACGAATTATGGTCTTCGAACGGCCAATAAAACCGTCACATGCTGCCCGAATGTTGCTCTGCGGTATTTTGCGATGGTGCAGGATCCTGTTGGAATGACCAAGGTCTGCGGCCAAAATGTTTGCGTGCCCAAGGCTTTAATACACCCTCCAAAATATTTTAGCGGCATTTATTCTGATGCTACGGTCGATTAATAAGAGCGGAGATCGACCATCGGCTGTTAAAGCGGCGTACACCATCACCATGACCGGAGCTAGAGTTCTGGTGGCCAATCGAAGGTGCACATTTTCAGCTGACCGCTTTGGTATAGTTCTTGAAAGAATAGTTTAAAAAAAATCCATCCAATTCATATGTTTCGACCAAATCCGTTTCAGAACATTTGGAGTAGGTCTAACGATGTTCGTCTGTCTGTCTGTCGGGCTGTCTGGTGTGTACGACAACTCTCGAAGGGAGTATTCGATTTGATCCAAACTTTGTACATCGTAATATTATTGTCAAACTTAGATCGTGTTCGGAGATGGGCAATATCGGTCCTTCTGGAAGTGGAAAAAATAATTTGTAAGAAGTTCTCCATCTTCTAAAAACAAAAATAGTTCCTTCCTTGTCATACCACCATCGAAATGTTTTTCGAAACTTTCTTTCATTTTCAGGTGATTCCCACTAAACGACAGACAACAACATTAATCCCCCCAACCATTCGGAGACACTTGAAAATCGAATATCAATTTTAAATTTAAAGCAAATAAACCCTCTAAGAAGATCAACAAAGACGCAGACGAAAAAATCCCACATTGAAGTTTCACTGCTTCCAGTGTCGAAATCAGGTTTTCTAATGATTGGCAAACACGAATAAAGTTCGAGACTAGGTGGAGAGGAAAGAGGGTCTCTCTTTTTATCACTCTCTAAGATAAGACTACGTCATAGTTTATGGGGAACAAAAGAAAATCACCCTTTACTTGGGCATTTGTCATCCCACTGGTAGTTGGGTGCTGGAAAGAAATCCGCCGACTATTGTTTTGTTTTATTTTTTCAAATAAAAGTTTAAATCTATTCTTGTGTTGAGTCTAGAACTGGTTTATCTTGAAAGAGGTTATTTGCCTTTTGTGTGATTTGCGGTGGCTGATCTACGCGTGTCTATGCGGCGTCTTGTTGTTTTCTTTTTAGCTGTCGATCTCGTCACAACACCAAAAATGATGTCTCATTTGATGGAACAGAAATTTGCGGCTATTCGCCATAAAGCATGGGATTTTACACATAAGGAAGTAGTTTTATTCCGAAATTAGTTGAATAATTATTAAACAAACACGAATTATTGTTTACATTAATGCATTAGAACTTTTGTGTAAAGCAACTCGATGGGGTGGTAATGGGAAGGAATCCCATAGGAAGTTAGTGGGGTTTAGGAGAAGTGGAAAAAAATTAACAAATGGGAGAAAAAATAGGAAAGGTAGATTCTGGGATCTTTTAAAGAATATTTTTGTAGGAGAAGCAGAGTTTCAATAATGAACTTTTTTAAGAACATTTTTGAAGGTAAATATGAGATTTCATGAACTTTTAGAGAATAGCTTCTGGGGTCTAAGAGGTAGATTCTGGGATCTTTTAAAGACTTTTTTTTGTAGAAGAAGCAGAGTATCAATCATGGACTTTTTTAAGAACATTTTTGAAGGTAAAGGTGAGCTTTAATAGTGAACTTTTAGAGAATAATTTTATACCCTCCACCATAGTATGGAGGGTATATTAAGTTTGTCATTCCGTTTGTAACACCTCGAAATATACATTTTAGACCTCACGAAGTATATATATTCTTGATCAGCATAAAATGCTATGCCGATTTAGTGATGTCCGTCCGTCTATCCGTAACGGATAGATATCCCGATATCAGATACTTTGATGATTTTAGGAATTTTAGTTCGTAATGGATAGTACAGCGTAAAACAAAAAAATTGTCTGTTCAGGTCAAATGGCAAACCATATAACGGCACCTCCCGATATTCTATAATTTGATGATTTTAGCGACATTATTCACCGGAATTGTTTCAAATTTTGTATTTGAAATTCGTAATGGGTACTACAGCCTATGGCAGAAAATTGTCTGTGAAGGTCAAATTCTTTATATAGCCCGCACATAATCGTGCCTCCCGATATTCTGTAATTTGATGATTTTAGCGACATTTTTCACCCGAATTGTTTGAAATTTGGTATTTGAAGTTCGTAATGGATACTACAGCCTATGACAGAAAATTTTCTATGCTGGTCCACGTCTTTATATAGCTCCCGTATAACGGTACCTCCCGATATTCTGATAATTTTAGCTACATTATTCACCGATTTTTTTCAAATTTCGCATTTAAATATTGTAAATGCTTATGACAATGCCACTTTGCAGGACACTATGCAGGTCCACGTCACCGTGTGGCCTCTAATATAACGGCTACATTCGGTATTTTTACTATTTTAACAGAATTTTTAACGGATTTTAGTTTTTCGAAAATTGCCAAATTCGTTCCAAATGGTGGAGGGTATTCAAAGTTCGGCCCCGACGAACTTACAGCTTTTGTACTTGTTTAATATCGTAGATTTGTTGAAAGAAGGATTTAAAAGGTATATTCTTAACAAAAAATATACTAACTAGAGTACGAAAGGTACTAAAAATGCAATACTTTGCATTGAACAAACGGACTGAGCTAGAATTCTGACATTTGGAATGAGAGTCACTGATGGAGTGCAGGTTAGATATACCAAAAGGTATATCATCTAAACTTCTTAGATGGTACCATTTACAATTATGTGAACGGATGGAGCAAAAAACTTGAAATTCGGTACGAGAATCAATTTGGAAAGTACGTTTGATACATGAAGGCGGTTTAGAAATGTGTACAAGTGTACGAGCTGTACTAAATGGTACTAAATTTGGAAAAGTTTGGTTTAGGATGAACGGATGATGATAGAATTATTAAATTTTATATTGGGTTCGGCGTTTGTGATAGGTTTTTGATAAAGAGGTGGTTTTGGAAAATGTGGACTACAAATACACGAAAAGTACTAAATAGTACTATATTTGGAACAGTTTGATATTAGGTGAATATATTGTGCTTTAAATCTGAAATTTGGTACTGCGGGCGATGTTAATATACGGCCTTGACAAATGGAGGTGGTTTCGGAAATATGTACTATAATTGTAGGAAAAGTACGGAATAGTACCAAATTTTGGAGCTGGAGTCCCGAAAGTTGAACTAGGCTCTCTGTTGGTATTTGGTGTTAAGTTCTGGTGATAATTTTTGGAAAATGTGTACTATAACTGTACGAAAAGTACTAAATGGTACTATTTTTGGTATTGGGTGAAGTTATAAAGCTAGAGTACTGAAATTTGATATGCTGTTGGTGTCTGTGGTTGAGAGATGGAGCTGGTTTTTGATATGCGTACAACAATTGCACTAAATGGTACTAAATTCGGTCATGGGGGATCTAACAGAACTGAAATCCCTAATTTTGATATCAAGTTCACTATTGCTATTTGACCACCATATCCTTCACATATTAGTCGTAATTTAAACACGCGAAATTTATAATAAAACCCTGACATTATAAACACTCGTATTTACTTAAGGTTTGTGGGTCCTTATGTTGATCCTGGCAACGACAGAACTCACCTCAGCCCAGATAAAACCACACGTTATAAAATTTAGTACGATGTATGAAGTTTTGATTAAAAATGTTTGTCAAATTGAAAAATTTGTGCATTTTGACCATAAAAACGTCCACGAAATGTTGGACCGAATCTAAAATTTTAGGTTGGTTATTTCTGATAAAGTAGCGGACACTTGCTAGTAGAATATATTTTCAAAGAGGAGGCAGAGTTATAATCGTCGCTTTTTCCAAATTATTTTTTGAAGGAAAATCAAATTTATATTCGCGGATTTCATAATAACTGGTCGAAGCAGAACTATAGTCGTGGATTTTTTTAAGATTATTTTTTGAAGTAGAAGCTGTGGATTTATTTTAAATAATTTTTTTAAGTCGAATCAGCTAGAATTGTGGGATTTTAAGGTAAGTCTTTTAAAGTGGAAGCTGAGCTATAATTGTTGATGTTTTAAAGATTTTTTTTTTAGTTGAAGCCTTCCAATATGAAACAGAGCTATAATCTAGGAAGATTTAAAAATATATATTTTTTTTTTAAGATTGATGGATATTTTTTTGAGATGAAAAATTGTTGGAGGTGAATTAGAGCTAAAATATTTTTTTAAAAAAATAAATTTGAAGGCTAAGTTTAGCCATCGGCCGATTTTTTTAATAAAAAAATATTGTTTTAGTGGTGAAGATTTTTTAAGGTAAAGTTTTGATGGTGAAGCACAGATATCGTCCTTATATTGGCCGTAGATGTAGCAGATCATGGCCTAGATTTCTCGAAGAATATAGTTTTTTGCTTCCATAATTTTATTTTCCAATTCACAAAAAAATTCTTCTAACAATTCTCTTTCTTTTATTATTTTTTATTTATTTTTGTTTATTTTTTATTTATTTATTTTTTTTTATAAAAATCTAAATTCCATCAACTTTCTAATCATAATCCTCATGTGCTCTGTGGCGGTGATGATGATGACGACGTCGCCCACCACCTCCATGGTGACCACCACCATAGCCTCCCTCCAATTCTTCACCACCTGCATAACCACCGTCACCGCCTCCAACTGCCCCACCATAGGCATTTGCATTGGCTACAGCAATGGAAACAGCATTAGCTCCATTATATCCACTTCCATTGGCTTCAGCATTGGCATTGGCCACGGCATTAGCTCCACCGCCTTCACCGTATGCATTCGCCTCTGCATTGGCAATTGCTGATGCACCCGCCTCGCCACCATAGCTATTGGCATTTGCCTGGGCATTGGCTACTGCCGAGGCACCGGCATTATTCCCAAACGTTCCTCCTTCATCATAATCCTCGGAAATGACAATTGCAACACAGCTAATTAGCAGGAAAACTAATAGTGAAGAAATGTTATTCATGGGGCTTTTTTTTTTTGTGTGACACCCTCTTGGAAGCGTAGAAATTTTCTAATCTTTTGTTTAAAAACTTCAACAGATTTATATATCCTTTAAATAGGCAAACTTCGAATCTTTCGTTACGTGGATCAAGTTAAACTGGCTTATTCTAATTACCTCCTTTATTGTGTGTGTTATACGATGCGATAATTGATATATCAATAATTTTTGTCAAATATATATATATTTTTTTGCGAATTTGTTTGTTATTCAATGTGACCAGTCTGTATGCGACCAAATTCCATTCAAGATTAATACTAATTTTCTAAATGAATTAGAATCTCACACGTAGACCAAAAATAACACGTGCACCCTCTTAGTATTGGAGAGTGCAGATTTTTTGGCAATCATATTTCAAGGTTGCTGATCTAAATTGACTAAGTTCTTCCAAAATCTGTAAAAAAAAATATTTATTATTTCACGACTATAGCTTCAATGAAGCTCGAAAAAAAATTTTAAAATCCTAAATTATAGCTGTGACAAGCCTTTAAATATATTTCAAAATTACATATTTCTAGTTTTTAGAGCCGACTCAAAAAACTACTATTATAAGAGTGATAAAATATTTAAAAAATAAGTTTAGTTCTTCAAAAGTATTTCTCAAAATCTGTGATTCTAAAAATATTAAAAATCGACGACTCAAAATCAAAGATTATAGTTGGTTCCTTAAAAAAATATTCTTATCCCGGGTCTACATAACGTCCTTATGAAATATGAAGAGTAATTTTCTCACCCTTCAGGGGTGATGTTTTATTGATTTCAATACTAAATAAGGAACTACTAGTGTTCAAATACGATAGGATGAATATGGAATATAGGATGGAGAATGGGCTTCGGATGTGCTCGGGAAATCGAAGTAGAGTTGTTCGATGATCGAGAATTCGACATTTACGATGTCTGGTAGGGAAAAGGGGGAACGATTCATGGGTTATCGGTTATGTAGCGATGTCGAGTTTTTCACAATTGGTTCTCGGTTTGTTGATGCGAAGAGTTATAAGCCGATGATTCGAAGATGATAGGGTACTCGTCGCTGTTCGGTATGTTGACGATTTAAAGGTGATCGTGAACTTATGCTCGTCGGTTGTCGATGGGTTGAATATTATCAGGAATTACGATGTTGGTTTTCGAAGGGACATCGGCGCTCGGGATATTGTCGATTTGAAAGTAATTGGGAATTTTATTGAATGGTCATGGGGCTGACGATTGGTAGATAATTAAGGTTAACGATGTAGATGGTTTGGATGTTGATGTACAGGTGTTCGGAGACGGGTGGAGGTCTAAACGTGTAATGGTTCGGGGACGGCAGTTCACTGTAGTGACACTTGCTAGGAAGATATACATGTCGTCTTAGGTTGTTCGGGTTCAGCAGCTTTCGTTAGGTATGTTCGGGAAACTCTGTCCAGGCCTTCGCAGCTGGATCGTAACACGCTCGCGTTCCTTGCAGATGGATCGGGACTCGTCCGTGTTCGGCCCTTCTGTAAGGCGCCGACAGCCGTTGTCTAGACCTTCGAAGATGGATCGGATCTTGTTCGTGTTCGGCAGCTCACTGGGGGTTTAGCTGATTGAGTCGTCTACAATAGCTTGAAAACTATTCTGGCTGGCACCAGGACCACTTATAATTTACGTATTTTGCAGAAATTTTCGCAAATAATATTCTTAGATATACAGGATAAGATGAAAACACTACAACCAACTTCAGACTGCTGTCATTTCTAAGCCAATCGCCCTGTTAAAATTATTCCAGTGGCAGCCCATTTTATTGTTTACAAGCTTACAAAAGCATTATGGCAAGAATTCTCCAGAAAAAAAGTTATTCGTGATGGAATTCAAGCGTGACAGTATTATTTCCCTACATTTGGCTGGAAAACCACAAATGGCTATCGTTAGAGCACTCCAACATTTGAATGTGAAAAATTCTTTTGTGTCTCGTACCATCGTTAGTTACCGTGATACTGGTAGCGTAGCCCGACGTCAAGGAAGTGGACGGAAGAAAACAGCAACATCAGCAGAAATGGTTCGAAAAGTAAAGAAGCGACTTGATCGAAACCCGCGTCGCAGTGTCCGAAAAATGGCTCGTGAGCTGAGCATATCGCAATATTCATTCGGCAAATATTGAAAAAATCTCTGGGTTGGACTATTGTATCTGGAGTATTTTGGGAAGCAAGGTTGACACTAAAAAATACGAAAGTGTCGATCACCTCAAGCAAGCGCTGTGCCGAGAATGGGCGAAAATACAATGAAATTTAAAAAAAAATGTTAAAATTATGGCGTTTGATTTCTTTTATCTCACCCTGTAGAAGATTGCGATACAGATCTTCAAAAAAGTGTTGGGGACTCGTGGTATAAACATCCGGGGACTACAGTTCACTCTAGAGATACTCGGTGGGAAGATATACATGTCGTCTTAGGTTGTTCAGGTTTACTTTGAGTATTGTCAACAGCCGATGTATAGGCCTTTGCAGAAGGATCATAATGGCTCGGGTTCAGCAGCTCACTCTGGATATGTTCGACAGCCGATGTATAGACATTTGCAGATGGATCGGAGCTTGTCCGGGTTCGGCGCATTACAGCAGGTATATTCAACGGCCGATGTCTAGGCCTCCAAGATGATAAAGAAACAAAAGGATCTCGTTCATGTTCGGCAGCTCATTGGGTGTATGTTCGGGTTTGCCTGATAGGGTGGTCTTGGTCGCTTGGAAACTATTCTAGCTAGAACTACGATTTAACTTCTAATTAACTACAAATAGTTAAGGTATGGTACGGTACAACAAAGCGAAGCCCTTGTGGTACAGCGAGACGAAGCTCCTGCGCAACAACAAGCCAAAGCTACTACGGTACAGTAAATCGAAACTCCTGTGGAACAACGAGGCGAATCTCTTGGGTAAATGAATTACCGCTCAAATTTCTTAAAATAATATACTCCGACAAGTAACTGCTTTACGAATTTTTTACATTTCAAGGACTATTGATTTGCAAGGCTTTTTAAAATTTCCTGAAAAATTGCTTCTAGTACTTCACTTTTTTTTACCCTCAGCCATTTGGTTATATCATTTGATACGGCCAAAACCTTTAGATCCTTGGTCTCTTTGGACCAAATACGTTTCCGTCCGTCTGTCTGTCTGGCTGGTACGATACACGCACGATAACTTTCGAAGGAAGTATCTGATTGGGTCCAAATTTGGTACATCGTAATATAATTATCAAACTTAGATCGAGTTCGGAGATGGGCAATATCGGTCAACTCCTTCTGGTACATCCCCTACAAGAGATGGAAATATTCAAAAAAATTTTTTTTTTTTCAGAAAGAGAAAGGATAATCTGATTTTGCTCCAACTTTGCAAATATATGCGTAAATGCTACGTCAGGTGCGAAAATGGACAATGTTGGTCCACTCCATTATATGCCTCACCCACAAATGGTCAATATTGTGAATAATTATAGCTCTCAATGTTATGTAAGAGTCAAATTACACACATCACATATTTGTTATTAACCCACGGTCTGGCGTGAAGATGGAATATATCGGAGCACTCCTTCTAGAACCTCCCTTACAAGGGGTCAAAATTTTAAATAATTATAACCCTTATAAAAAGCGAACTTTTCGAAATATTATGAAATATCTCATTTAAAGTAAAGCAAATAGTCAATACAAAATCCAAATATGATACACAATAATATTTTTATCAACTTATGTCAGATACGAAATTGAAAATATTGACCTACTCCTTCAGAACCTCTCCTATGAAGGGTCAACAGTTTGAATAATTATTACACAAGTCAAAATGTAAAGATATATGGTTCAGCTTGCCATTTATAAAAATCATTCAAGAGTTTTTGATCAGCAAGTCCTTTAAAAATGCTTTTTCAAATCCAAGTTTGTTCAAAACATCATCATATAACTTTTATGGAGTCAAGGTATCTTTTTTTCAACTTTTCAAAAATATCGCAAAATATTTAAACGTCGCTCATAAATTCTTAAAAAAAATCCTTTTTGGAATCAACAACGATGGATCTGAAAAAATCTGATTAATCCCTTCAAAATATTTTCGTAAAAATCCAAAAATTCCAAAAATTATCAATTGTGGATCAAGCAGTCTTTTAAAAATCTTCTAAAAGACACGTAAAAAATAAAAAAAAATTCTTCGAAATCTACAATCCTCTAGAACTTATTTTCAAAAATATCATGAATGGCACTGCTAAATATTAAAAAATATTCACAGAAAATCTACACATATGGCTTTTCAAGAAATATTCATTAAAAAATACACGTTTCTAACCCGACAGTCCTTCATGTCGGACATTGACACATTTTGGGATTTTCTCAAGACTAAATAAGTTCAAGAGATGTACTTGAAAATTCTCACAACAATATTTGGGAAATCCCATTCTAGAACACATACGAAAATTAACACAACTCCCAAAAATTTCCTGACATCATCTCTAATCTAAAAGTGTTCTTCTTCAGACAATACCTCCAATAATAATCCAATTAACCGATGACAGTGTACCAACCCACCCATGGACGTAATACATGTTCATAAATTGACCATTACGTTAATTTTTTGAGAAAACATAAACAATGCCGAAACCGAAACTGGTTTTCAATACTCTAATGTTGTAAACAAAAAAATCCCCCAAAAAAGCATTGTTAGAAAACGCCACAGGTTTCAGTGTGGTTTCCGGGGAAATTTCCCCCCACTTTCGGCATGGCATTGAATGCCACCATGAATGTTGAACAAATAAAAATCTCAATGAGTTGATGGTTTTGTTGTTACTATTGTTGGTGGTGGTGGTCATTGTTTTCGGTTAAGATTCGCAAATTCAAAAAAATGGCATTTAAGAATAAGTTAGCTTTGTATTCGAGTGTGGAGAATAACAAAAAAAAAAAAAAAAGAATTCAATTCATGCACAACACATCGACCCCGTGTATGTCAGCAGTTAAATGACACTAATGGCTATTCATT